TCAAGGAAGGCTGTCCTCAACCAACACTAACTTCCTATCCAATTAGCAGCTCCTATCACTGTGTGGTGAATGATCGCCAAGTGGTTAAACTCTTAGGGGGCACTTCCTGATGTGTGGGAATCAGGCTTCACCCAGACACTTGCTTCTTGGCACATGCATAGAACTTTGAACATTACCCCAGTTAACAGTGACTTCCTCTCTGTGTGCATAGATGTTTATGCATGTTAAAATGTTGGCTTTTCAAGGTGTGCAGGTAGAATGAACAAACATAACAAATGTTGGCTTGGGGACTTGGCGCGTTTTGCAAGGTTGAATATAAATCAGTGGGTGCTTAACTGGTGTGAAGTCGCATAGGGCAAATATAGGTGATGAGGGCAAATACAATATGACAGTTGGTAGTTGGATTAGTTATTGACCATGCAACAAGGCAGGTATGGCCAAATGTACCTGACTCACTGTGGGAGACATTGACACAATGCAGCACTGTAAATAGTGGCTAGATTAGGGATTGGCTAAGCATTGAGGTGAGTGTGGCCAGACATACCTAAGGGTGTGACTAGTCATAATCCTAAACCTATGATCTATATGGCAAATATGTTCATCAATGGCTTACCTGTAGTATTAAGAGTCCAACTAGCTCTGGGATAGGTGAAGTGGAGAGTTGGTTGGACCATTGGTTCACTTCATAGTATGTGACAGTGTTTGTTTTGGGGGTGCCCAAGCCATTTCCTGTACCTAGAAAGATCTTCTCCTGCACAATGGTGGACATGGAGATAAGCTGCTAAATGTTTGGCAAGACCACCAAAAGCATGATCAAGCATGATCAAGCTTGCAAATCCTTATGATCTCATTTCATCTTTATTATCTGTGAGTGGGTTTCCTAATGTCAGGGGGGGTAGTTGGGTCATGCCCACACTGTTAGGAAATGTATGGGAAACCATGGCAACCTTTTGTCCAATAGCGGATTCCCCTCCATCCTCACAAATAATAAAATAAAATAAGATAATTTTAATTTGGGACCTGTACTCACAACTGTTCATTCAATCATGAATTGTGATGTACCCCTTCTAGCCAACAACCTCACCACTGTCTTTGACAATTCTGTCCAACCTGGCCTGCCTCAGTGGGTTGCAGGAATTTGCTGATTGCTTGATCCATGACTGGTCTGTGTCAACACTTTCCTTCTCATGTTCTTTCTGGAATAAACACCTTGAGAATTTTATGTCGCAACTGTCAAGTTTGTCAATCATATTCCTGGCAATTGAAGGGGCAGGGTATATTAGACCCGCCCTTGTTGTATGTATGCATGATGCTCTCTCAGTTGAATCAGAACCTTGTGAGTTGCACTCAGAAAATGGAAATGTTTTCTGTCCCCAGTAAAACCTCTTTCTGGTATTAGGAACAACCTGGTGATCGGGGGACTGCACCATCCGAGTTTCAACATTTGAAGACCCTCGATTGCCATCTTGCCGTCGAGGTATGCATTCTGAATGGTCGATTCGGCATTCTGCCAAACGTGCCATGAATACTGCCCTACTCTGAAACATGTCAGGATCTCTTTTGTCCTGCGAGACTGAGATACCTTACTTGCGACTCACGAAATTGATTGCAGACTTGTCGGCAGTGCAGGTCGGGAAACCTTTCTGTTAGTGAACTGTCTGCCATTTGAGTGGATGTAATAATGCATTTGACATGGTAAATCCGCTGTTCTCCACGACGTGCTTGTTTGTGATCCCAGTGCTCATACTCGCAACGAGATTGCCGTTTGACATTTAACGAGACTTTATCAATACTTTGTCATTCTGTGATCTAATACTTTAACTCCATTCATATAGCTGATCGAAAATGAAAACGACACGAAAAAGTGCCCGTCAAGGTGAACCGAGAAGGAAGCAAGACCCGTGAAAGAAAAGGGGAAATGACCAGAATACATATCATTAATTCCAAATATGATCCAGGATAAGAATGTATAAACATTCAAGGTTGGTCTAAAAGATACTGTATAACCTGGGGAAATGGTTAGTCGCGGTAAGTGAATCGGGTGGCGTAACAAGTGGTCAAATAAAAAAAACTTACATTTCATTAATAACCTGCACATCGATCCATGCGTTCGAATCTAAAGGAAACTCGGGTTGAAGATTTGATACATCAACGCCGTCATCCCAGAATCATCAGTTGGCTGCTGCTCCTGCATCTTTGGAGCGACTGTCGCCGCCGCCAAATCCGGCATCGCAAGTGGCATCACGATCCCGGGCATTGGAGACGACGCTGACCTAAGATCTTGAAGCAGGTATTGGATCTGACTGAAATCACCACCGAGCCCACTCTGAGCGGAATGACCGATCATTCCAGTCATAGTAGGCAGGGTGGTGGCGGCGGCGGTGGTCCATTCAGGTGGTCCTTCGTATGGCGCGATGGGTGCAGATGTTAAGTTTGGTGAGATTGGAGGGATGGGTGATGCAGGGATGGAGTTAATGAGGAGGTGATCGTTTTCGAAGATTGATGGAGGAGACAGGAGGGGGGATAAAGGCATCTCGACGGATGCTACAGGGGAGTAGCTGATAGAGAGTTCGCTGGGATGAAGTGAGGTTGGAGAGTCCTGATCCACCTTAGTGTGAGCTTGTTTAGGGTGATGAGCCGATGCCGGACCTCTGCGACTGCGACTGCTACCCGACTTTGACTTGAGGCTGTTGTCGAGCTCTTCGACATACGTCCAGTATTGACCCTTTCCAACTTTCCAGTCCGGTCTGTCACGTATCTGGAACCGAGGCAAACGCGATAGGCGGTGCCTAACGTCACCCCTTAAAGTATGGACCACAGTCAGGCTTGGAACCAATAATGCCAGTGATCGATTAGCCGTGCTCACTTTAAGCGCTTGAAGCGCCCCGCCTCCTTATAGTTGTTCGAGATCGACGCAGATATTTGGTCGAGGGTTGCCTTTCAATCGGGGCTTGCGAGAAGGGCTGCTCGTATGAGCGTCGCAATCGACGGTTTGGTCGCCCTGGATTCGAGTGCCTCGAATGACCTCCAATCCGTCACCTCTCGCGTTACGCACAGAGGTGAGGAACCGATTGAATTAAAAGTGGATGAGGGCGATGCGAGCGATGGTGTGGCTGAAGTCACAGGGGAAAAAGGAAGAACGGTGGTCGGTAGGTGGGTCGCAGGCGCCGTGGAATGGACATCCATTCCATGAATTGGGATTTGGTCGGTACTGTGCGAGATTGGTTCCGAGTCCATCGAATTGAGGGCCATCGAAATTCCAGAGCGCGATTGATGAGCCCCGAGGTTGTCTGGGCGATATTCTATTGTGGCCTAGAACGTCGGTATCCGAATTCAGTTTTAAGGAAACGGATACGTTGAACGTGCAATTCTACCTGTCTCTCGATAGGCAGGGGATGTACCAAGACGAATGAAAGACGGATGATGAAGCGGAAACCGCAAGCAGAGTGGATGAGGTAAGCGTACAGCGTTAGCTGGTCAGATTAAGAGGCATGGCCTGACCCAATTGTTTGGCACAGAAAAGAAACGGGCGGGGACATTGTCTTCCCCCTCCTAAGCAGAGTCATACATTCAATGGATCTCTTCGCCGAAGATGGTCAGAGGGCATATGCTCTCCCACGCCCACATTTGACGATGATGGACGGCCGCAGCAACACTGGGAGAACCAGGACGGTGTCCGAATGTGTAACTCCCTCAACTTGGCCGCCCGGTTTCGTCTATGTACCGGCCGATACTGACGTCACAATAAGAACCGTCGACGGGAATAATGTTGCACAGCCGAACAAGCCCACACCGCGAATGTGTAACTGTGCGTATGCAGCATGAATGCAGTATTCGATTCAGGCACACGGCCTATTTGCCGCGCTTATATCAGGGTCGTAACGTGTTACCGGAACGGCGTAAGTGACCTCGAGTATCGATGGTATTGGTTGTGAACTGCCGAGACCCATGCGCTTGCTTACATCTTTGACCAGATTCAATGCACACTTGAGCCGGAAACATGGCCAGTAGCTCGGAGTGCGGAAGTATGCATGTAATTCTGAGAGTGAGTGCAGTGAGTACGCCGTCGTTACCCAAAAGGAAAATAATAGCCGATGCACATGTATATCAACGTCTAGGAAGATAATTCTAGCGATGCTCAAGCGATGATCCCTTCGGCCGGGATCGAACCAGCGACTTTCAGATGACACAGTCCTCCATTACAGTCTGACACTTCCAGCTGAGTTACAAAGGGTTTGGTCCAACCCTGAAAATGAGATCTTTATAAATGAGAGTGGAAAATTCGGGAGCAGAAACGCAAGCGACCTAATTTCCCCTACTTTAATCGTCGAGAACATGATGTTCATGTTCAAAGAAGGTGAATCTTCACTCCAGACATTCCCCAACAAAAGCCTCGCCGATGCGTACTTCAGAGACTGAACGTTTGAAGCCGCGATACTCGGGTTACATCGCCGCTGCTCCCTCCCTCTTTTACTTTTTTTCAATATCAAAGAATTGACAAAGGCTAACGGAAGGGGGTATTCAGGACCGGAGAGCTGGATTGGCGACTGTGGGAACAGACCCCGCTGGATGCAACAGCGCAACAGCGTGCTGTAGAGTGAGAGAATGCGGGTGAGAAAAGTATGGACGGGATCGTGGCAGTACCCAGCAGACGTTGACCGTGAGCCGGTGTATGCGGCATAGGCGGTTTCTGTGTGCCCAAGACGATGTTAATGCCACCCTCATCGCACGCTTTGACCTGTGCTTATTTTCCATCGCCTTCCAGCATATTCCAGATCCAAAAGGTAAAGATGACGTTTTTGATAGAGATAGGACGAGCGAATATTTTTGGCGCTGAAAGCCTTTGAATGGCAAAGTGATGGCGTAACATTGACACAATCCTATAGGATATCCTGCCAGCAGAAAGATATAAGAGTTTTGGGTGGGAGGGAATTTGGTGGATCATGTTCTATCGTCGTGGTAAACACTCTAGATCCGGTGAGCTGGACATCCGTGGTGTGGTTTGGGGACAGAGCGTTGACCTAGAAGACGGCTATATGTCCGAGCCACAGGCCCAGATTAGAAACAGACTGATCACATTCTGCGGCCGTTGAACAGTGATTTCACCTATTGGCGCGAGCCATGCAGGCTTACGATGGACAGAAAAAGAAGAGCGGATCAGGTAGAGAAAATATATGCATGTATGCGGCGACACGTGCAAACCGTGCCTTTTGATCAAGCTCAAAAGTTCCAAAATATGGTAAATGTTATTGCTCGTACACGATTCATGGTAAGTAAGTGTCAAGCTCGGTAATTGAGGTGTGTTTAAATACATAACGCACAATCTTGAACAAACCGTGATTGCACCCCTCCAACTTGAAAACCCTAGCATTGCCTCTAGGAGATGTCAGAAACCCATGGGCCGGATTTGCGTACATTTGAAGGAATATCTAGAAGGGGTATCTTATTGATAAGTTGTGCTCCATACCGGGAGGTACTCGGAGGTTCTTGCTACCTTCGCTTTTTCCGCCGAGTTTGATCTTCGCCGTCTCTGTTCCTAAAGTGCCAATAAGTGGCTGTTGTGCCAGAATTCTCGACTTTCTATCATACGCGTGGAGGAACTGGTACCACAATGGCGCTGTGCATGCAGGTAAGACGCATGTCGACCAAAATACCTTTCAAATATTGCGATCTCAGCGAGAATGATCTGTGCTACCGTCCCTCCTATATCACAAAGTTGCTAAGAAAAGCTCATGGTGCCCTGTGTTCTTTTGAGTTTCACATAGCACATAGGAACGGAACTTCACGGGGACGGTGATGTTCTTTGAGAAGGATCCTCCGTACACGAGTCCCATCATGGAGTTCACCGTCGCACATAATGCAGCATTATTTATCCGTCTTCTCTCCACGCTCGATGAACCAGTGCAAGCTAGCTCTTGAAACCTAAAACTCTCAGATCAGCACCTTACTCTCAGCACCTAAGGGCTAGCACGAGACTTCGTTTAACCCCGAGCGCTACGGCGGGTCTCGTCGGTTAACCCTATATGGCAGAACTCGTTATGCTCTGATCGCACAAAGGCGATTAGAATTACGGCAGAGACCTATCCCGAGAAGTGCGGTGGTCGTATTACGCATCCCGGCGGATACACTGGCAAAACACGATAATATTATGTTGGTCGATACAAGAAGGGTATATTTCAAGGATCATGGCGAAATGGGAGAGGGTGGTTGGGCGCTATACCTTGGCTTCGATATTTATCCACGACCCGTATCACTGAGGAGAAATCCAGTAGCAGAACTTGGCCTAAGGGTGTCCCCAAGGTCATTTGGTGTCCTCTCGATGCCCAGGTCCAGTTTGGTTCCCCTAGAGAGCAAAGACGCCAATCGAGGTACGTAACCCAAGGGTATTCCCACTGAAGATGTCCTCTGGCCGTGCTCACATCTCTTGGCACAATGGCAACGGGATATCGCGTGATATCATGGGCCCATGTATGCCCTGTCGATGATCGAAACATGACCTGTCGACTATCCTGTGCAAACGAGACACTACCCACCGCTGTACTAACTCCATCCCCTCTACCGGCGCCTGATCTTTCTTTTTCACCATAGGCTTGGGCAGTCTTATGATCAGAGCTGCGATTGCTATCTGGCGGATTTGCTTTGAGGCGGCTGGGTGAAGTGGGTTCAACTAGGGTCGCGAGTGCCAGACCAACGTGTGCCCATAGCTCAATCCTCTCGTCAGAAAAAGCAGCAGCAATGTACGCCCCATTCGGGGAGAAAGCTACAGACGTAACCGCAGCGTGAGACTGCGTAGCTGCATCACTCCAGTTCCTTTCGCGCCCGAGGCGAACAACAGCAGAGGCATTAGGCTGACTGAGTTGGGACTGATATTGGTTGTAAAGGTGGCATTGCGGTGTAAACGGCAGGGCAGACGCGTATATGCCCCCTGCGCTGTCGCGGATCGGCTTGAAGAAACGTGTGACGAATCGCTGGCTATCTCGCACAATCTCTAGGGTTTCCGAAAGGCCATTAATGCTCTGTGTAAGCAAATGTTAGCTCGATAGAGCTAAAAATGCTCAAAATTCGAAACCCACCTGTAGACCAGATTCGACCACTCGAAGTAACGGCACCACCGTATCAAGCCGACCAAGGAGACTCATGATCTCCAACCAACACAACATCTTCGTATGAACAAACTTTTCGAAAACATCTGCCAGCTGAAGAACAACGGCCTTTTGTACGCCCTTGTTTGCGGACTCAGCAAGCCCAGCTCGGGCGAGGTGTAATGGCCAGTAGGAACATGCGTATTGGAGGTGGAGCGGGATATTAATTTGGAGTCGCCTGTGAAGATCCGTCACAGTTGAATTAAGTGTTGGTAGGGAACCGATACCGCACATGTCGCGGGTAAGAGATTCATACATGTGATCCAAGCAGTGCAGGGCAATCCGTGAGTGCTGTGGTGTGGGACTGACAAAGAACCTAGAGTCTGTACACCGAGATGGTGTGGTGAGGAATTCGGGAAAAGACGAGTGGATAAGGCGAAGTGGAGCGGAGTCTGCCTTGTCAGGATTCGAGATGAAGGCTACCGGCCGAAGTGGCAGCATAACACTGGTGACAGTACACGGGGCTAGCTGTAATAGTGCTTCGAGTGACTGCGGGGGAAGCGGGTTGAATAGAAGAGCGATGGCCCCAATGACCTCCGCCGAATCTTTTTCGAGACGCTTTTCCTTTTTACGCCAGTGTAATAAAGCACTCTGTAAAACCTCGGAGTACATGAGATCGAGAGCACCGAATGACTCCGTGTGGCTCGTCCCCGCACTAGATCCCTGCGCACCGACTGTCCGCAGCACCTGCCTTGAGTTGACATCTGTCGACAAGAGAATCTCTAGCTGATTCTTCCAACCCTCCGTATCGGGAGTGAAAGAGTCTTCGATGAACCTGACTGCGGTTGATGCCACGATGAATAGCCCTTGTATAATCTCCAGTAGCCGTTCCACTTCGGCATCGGTTGCGATACGCTTCTTGGACTGTAAGCAATCCTTTAAATAAAGTCCGATGTCGGCTTTCACAATGACGGGTTCAACTTCGTCAAGGTTTGCGACCTCCAACTTCATTCGAGATGCTGACTTGGCGGACTTGAGGTTGACCGAGGAACTTTCTCTCACTTGTCCTATGGACAAAGGTTTGGCTATGTCGGAGGAAATGGTGCTTATGGCGTCCTCCATGTTGGGCTCCGGGCGACTGGTCACCAGGACACGAATGCGACACCCGTAGGGAAGCTTGAAGGCGATGCTTGCCAAGTGTTTGATGATGTTTGTGGCATGGGAGTTTTCGCACTCGTTGAGCGCATCCAAGACGATGACTATTGGCGGTGGCGCATCTCTGGTGTCTCCATACAGTGGTTCGACGATCAGCTTTGTGAGTTGTGTAAGGAGATCTGAACTGGTCGCGTCTAGGTTGTCCTTGAGGGCCGTCACGAGCGATGCTCGAAAGCCAGGGATAGAGCATGCAAGCTGGTATGCGATGGTAGTGAAAACACGAAGCCCATCAGCCCGATCCGCTTGGTCCCGGGAGAAGAAGAAGCTGGCACCCAGATTGCCTATGGCAGCGCAGTCTTCTGATATCGTATGGGCGATTGTGGACTTTCCTGTTCCGGCCTGACCCTTCAGCCAAACTATTTGGAATTGGCGCTGATCGGGACTCAGGATCCAATCGCGAAGATTTTGTAGGATAGCAACGCGCGTTCCTTCCAAGCATCCCGACACCCCACCTCGAGCGGAAGAGTTGTAACGAGCGGACACGGGCCTCAGGTGTTGGTCCAGAAGACGTAAAGCACTCATCTCAGCCTACACGAAGGAACTCATTGTCAGATATTGTATAAAATTATATAGCCTTCAGAACAGTAAATGCGTACAATTGCCTGGCCATCTTTCTTCAGCTCCAAATAATATCGAAGTCGATCGATATCAACCTGATCCAATGACCCAATCTATTCGGAACAAAGTTAGAAGGAATAGTTGTGTAGAAATAATCTATATCTTACAGGAGAAGCCTTCATGAGATGAGTTAATTCGGACACACATTCATTAATTCGTCCTTGTACTTCTTGTACCGTCGCAATGGCTCTGTCGGTCGAACGTATCTCCCTTTCGAGATGTTGTAGGTCCTTGGACACCGCAGTCAGAACCCTAAAACGGAATGGATGAAAAATTCATGTGATGATCAGAGAATCAAACGGCTTACTTCTCCAGTTTA